GGGACTGATTTAAATGCCCAGAATTATCGTAAACTAAAAAAAAAATAATGCATGGATAGTCTATATCAGAGATCCCTAAAGTGATGGACTTATTATTCTACGTGCGTATCATTGAACAAACAAAATGGCACCGACTCCTTGGTGCGAAAATATTTATGGAGCATCAAAGCGTGCTCGGTACTGTCTGGATTTCAAACGCGAGCTGGCGACGTATTGCATTGCCAAAATGCAGAGTTGTATTGTAAAAAAGTGTACTAATTCCGATAAAAAGGTGAATAAAAAAAAGGATGGAATATCTACTTTTCAGTAAGTATTACAAAAATTATGTATTACGTATATTTTAAAAATTTTAATAAATATTTTAATAACCGTTTACTATCGATTAACCGGCTATGTTCATTTAGTAGCACCGCGTAGGTTTATTTTAGCAGCATTATATACGTGCCGTGCGTCCGTGCAGTGTTTCACTTTTTTTTTTTGCAATATTTAGGGTAAATCTACTAATATAGGTGGGGCTTTAGGCGTTTCTTCAAGTTGACAGGGTTTTGGATAAATTGGGGTAAAATGGAAAGATTTATTGAAGGGGATAGGGTCAAAAGAGCTGAAAAGTGTGATGAAAAAGTTTTTATGGAAAGAAGAGAGCCCCAGTCCCCGGTGGTCCCGCTTTTCCTGGATACACGGTGGCGACAATGATAACGGCTGGGCAGGGGTGCTGTCAAATCTCCGGTGGAAGTTCGGCTGCCACCTAAGACGACTCGACCTGGTAACACATAACGTACGCACCCTGAGGACTGACGAGAAGATCTTGGTGCTGGAAGAGCAGATAGACAAGTAGAACTGGTATGTTATAGGATTATCTTAGGTCCGAAGAGAGGGGAAGGACATGGTAATCCTCGAATCCGGCGACTTGTTCTATGATCAGGAAGGCGATCATCTATCCCAAGGAGGTGTCAGATTTATCGTACACAAGTCTCACGTTAACAACGTTGTAAAGATTGGAAGTGTGTCGACGAGGGTTGCGTACTTTATACTCAGAATCACCAAACGGTATCCGCTGAAGGTCATCCTAACCTCGGCACATCCCGATGAGGAGGTGGAGAAAATGTGTGAGGATATCTCTAGAGCTACAGATTCCTCTAAAATTATACAGTGTTAATGTGAGACTTCAACGGTAAACTAGACAGAAGAGAGACTAGACGATGAGCTGAAAGTGAGGAAATTCGCAATAGGGCAACGAAACCCAAGGGGCCAGCAGCTGGTCGACTTTATGGAGAAAGAGGGACTCTTTATGATGAACTCTTTCGTCCAAAAGCGGCCCCACGTAAAGTAGACCTAGCCGAGCGCCGACGGTTTGACATAATTGGGATTGACTTTATTATGACAACTAGACGACAACTGTTCAGTGATGTCTCAGTTATCGCAAGGGTGAAAACTGGCGGTGATCTCCGAATGGTGAGAGGTATACTGAACCTGAACGTGAAGTTGGACAGGTCACGTCTAAAGAAGTGAACGCTCCGCCCCCAAAGCCCTGAAAACGTTCAGCTCGAGTTACATAATCGTTTTCAGTGCCTAGAAACTGCCATTAAGTGAACAATATAAATAACAAGCTTGTGGAAACTAACCATGCTGTTAGAGCTAAGTTCTGTAAGACCCGTCGCAGAAAGAATACGAAAACTCTCCGATCACACTTTTAATTTCATGGCTGTTAGACGGGAGATGAAGTTGAAGTCGTCAGCAAATTTGACAGCATAGAGGCAACTGAATAGACAGATCGCGAAGTTCCTACGAACCAGGGCTCCATAGTTTATACCAGAGATCTGTCTGCCAGAAAGACCCAATTGTTGAAGCTGAAGACCGTATGTGGCAGCATCATTTCCAAAACACAGCCTGTACACGCCATTGTTGGAGCCATACGCAAAAGTGAGTTACAATGCAAGAGCAAGTCTTATCCGGCACTATACCGATGATATCCCGAACGTCAGTCTGAGCGAGATTAGAATAACACTCCAGCACCTTAAAAACGGCAAGTCTCCGGGCGAGGATGGAATTACAGCGGAGCTTCTGAAAGCGGGTGGAAAACCGATAGTTAAAATCCTTCAATAGCTCTTCAATTCCGTTCTTCATGGTGGCACTACTCCGGAGGCGTGAAACAGAAGTGCAGTGGTCTTATTCTTTAAGAAAGTTGACAACGCTCTCTTGACGAACTACAGACCGATATCCCTGCTGAGTCGCGTCAACGTGCTGTTTTCTACAGTCATTACGAATCGTCTCGCAATCAGACTCAACGACTTCCAGCCTCCCGAACAAGCTGGTATTCGAAAAGGCTTTTGTACCTGTGCCGGACGGGCGAAACTCTTCGGAGTAAATGTTGTCGAAGATACTTCGCGAGTCGCTCACGTCCTACACCTATAGGTTCCGGAGGGTACTTCCACTGCCGTCTTTGTGGGTGCCGCTGAGATATTGTAAACTGAGGTTCAAATTGAAATGCACGATTTATAAATACAAATAGCAAGGTAGTGGCCAGCAGTTCGACTGATTGATTAGTCGCGAAATTTTATAACTATTGTTTATTGACCACGGTTGTTTAACTACGGTTGTTCACTATTGGTTGGTCACTGTATATTTCAAAAGCGTTCTTTAAAATTGTACGGTAGAATCAAATATCTATTGGTAGTAGCTGATTTTATCACTTGTGTAACTGCGGATATCAGTTACCACTTTCACTATGCGAATATCAGTTAACCTTTTTGGCATAAATTTTTCACTATATACTGCTACTAGTCACTTTAGCTACTACCGGATACTACTGCTTGTCACTGGTAGTTCTTCACACTACTACACTACTACTGGGTCCCGAGCCCCTAAGGTAAACTTTGGCTATGCTTTACAGTGAGCCGCTGGCCATTTACCGTTTTGCCTCTTTATTGCATAAACTTTTCACTATGCAAATGGCATAAATTACAATATTTTCTATACAAAACTAATTGCTACACTAACATGCTATACATCATCAAACCGGCAGTCTGGTACTTTATTAGTATATTATAAAGATTACTCAAAACATTAACATTGTAAAAAGTTATTAAACGGAATGTCCCAAATTTTCATAATATTTGGGTACATTAATTCTTTGATTTTTCTATAACTACCAAATGCGTTTAATTATACAAAATATTCCTACACTTCCTTAATCTATAAGCCAAATGCTAATTCAATGTCATATTTACAACTCTTTTAGAACATAAAATTATTTTCATTATTTTTAGTAGGCAGTTAATTAAAAACTTCTAGAGAGTTCAACGATAAGACGCGCTGCGATTGGTCGATTTTTCTTAATACAATAAAAGTTGTTTACATCACTAGTTATCAAAACGACATTCTATACAAATATACTACGAGTTTTAACATCCTACACAACTATATCAATACACGTTTTCACCCAGTTTTGTCGGTAATTTCACTATTAATACAAAAAACAATATTCTTTATCACTTTGTTTCTTAGCGTTGTTAGGCCGTTGCGAACAGTACCATAGACCATATACATACACTTCATCAAATTATACACAAGTTTGAAAAGTACAATCTACCACTTTGTTTTGCGTATGTGAACCAGAGAAAGCCTTTGATTCCGTTGAAATTTAGGCGGTGCTGCAGTCCCTGCAGCGGTGCCAAGTGGACTGTCGATATATCGATGATAGTTGGGCTACGATGGCTATCCGAGTACAGAACCAGAGTAGGAAACTACATAACTGCAGAGAGTTGTAGGACAGGTTGACTTAATATCCCCAACAGTCTTCACCACTGCATTAGAAGATGTAGGAAGCTACCGGACTGGAAAGGATACGGTATTAACGTCAATGGAAAGTACATCCCTCGCCTCCGATTTGCCGACGATATAGTCCTTATGGCAGACTCGATTGAGGATCTAAGCACTATACTCAATGACCTCAATAGTGCCTCCCAACGGATAGGTCTTAAGATGAACATGGACAAAACAAAAGTCATGTGTAATATCCATGTCACACCTATACCGGTGGTTGTTGGGAGCACTTAGCTCGAAGTTGTTAAAGTAAGCGACAAATAGCCAGACTAGCTAAGTCCAACTTCGACTGAGAGGAGAGGATTCAACTCGGCTGGGCGGCGTTCGGGAGATTGCGACACATCTTCTCGTTAGGCATACCTCAAAATCTCTAAACTAGATTGTGCAACCAGTGCGTGATGCCAGTGAAGACCTATGGATTTGAGACCTGGTCCTTAACTGTCATATAAATATGTCTGGGTTAAGTATGGCCGTGTTTATATGAGAAAAGATGATAATTCAACTGCCATACATGTTAAAAACACAAACACTCTTGACACTCTAAAACAATAGATTTTTTTTTGTTTCTTTCTTATTATTTGAATATAAATTCTTTATTAATGGAAATTTATTACCAAAACGTAAACAGAATCAGGACCAAAGTTACAGATATTTATTTTAATACTTTAAGTTGTAATTTTGATGTTATATGTTTTACTGAAACCAATTTAAATGATAGTGTGTTTGATTCTGAAATGTTTGATTCCCAATTTTCTGTATTCAGAAGGGACCGTTATACAAGTTGTATTTCTAAGCATGATGGCGGTGGCGTGTTAATTGCTGTTAAGGACAAGTATCATGTAATTAGACAAACGAGTTGGAAATGTGAAGTTGAAGATCTTTGGGTGACTATCCTTCCGACCAATGTTTCCTGTCGAAAGCTCCACTTATGTTTATGTTATCTCCCTCCCGATATTTCTCGCGACCACTTGCAAGCCTTTTACGACAATGTTCATAAAAACGTATCTCGTGTTGAGGATAAAGACACATTTTTACTTATTGGCGATTTTAACACCCCACATCTGAGTTGGTCCCCTAGCACTTACAGTAACGTTATGACACCTGGTATTTCATCCGACTTTAAAAATCTAATTGTCTTGTTGATATTATGAATCTTTGTATAGTTCAACTTAATTCAGTCTATAATGTGAATAGCCGTCTTCTTGATCTCGTCTTGTCAACAACTGAAAAAGTGCTCGTAACATCTACTGAGCCTTTTACTCGAATAGATTCACATCACCCTCCACTGAAAATTGTATTAATGGAAAATTTTAAATTTAAAAAAATGAAACGTGCACAACCAATAAGATACAACTACCGCAAATGTAATTATCCTGATTTAAAAGAGGATCTAGCAACTGTTGATTGGTCTAACTTATTAATTGAACTGGATATAAACGAGGCTGTCGATAAATTTTACTCTGTTGAAAAAGTTAATTGCAAAACACACACCGCTTGTAAGTAAAACCAATAACAAATATCCACCATGGTATACTTCAGCATTAATAAAGTGTCTCAAAGAAAAAAATAAATATCACCGTCGTTTTAAAAAATATCATAATCCTAGAGATTACGACACTTATGCATTGCTACGCACGAGATGTAAAAAACTTACGGAATCGGTGTACGCATCATTTATTACCTCCATGGAAAAAAGTCTATCGGATAACATAAAGATATTTTGGAATTTCGTTAGCAATAAAATAGGTAGCTCAGGTATGCCACAGACTATGACTCTTGGTACGGAATCTTCTTCGGACACACAAGGAATATGTGAACTTTTTTTCTCGGTACTTCAGTTCAGCTTTCGAAGTTTCTCAACCTGTCATTAACCAGGATTTTGTTACTAATGATATTGTAGACTGTGATAGTTATTGTAATTACAGTATGTGTAATATAAAACTAAGTCAGGATACAATATTGGAAAAATTAAAGAAATTAGATACTCGCAAAGGTCCAGGGTATGATGGTATTCCCGCTATACTTTTCTCAAATTGTGCAAGGCAACTGTGTGAACCACTAACATTATTGTTTAATAAGTCATTAAAGTCTGGTGCTTTCCCTTCCATTTGGAAATTGGCTCACATTGTACCCATTCACAAGTCCGGAAATAAGTCTAACTGCGAAAATTATAGACCTATTAGCATTTTGTGCTGTATTGCTAAGGTTTTTGAATCTGCGTTATATGATCATCTTTACTTTCAAATTAAGCCGCTTATATCTAGCAAGCAGCACGGTTTCGTGAGAGGCAGATCAACAGTGACTAACTTGTTAGAATACAAAAACTACTTGTGCGAGGTTTACGCCGTGGGTGGGCAGGTTGACGCCGTTTACACCGATTTTAAAAAAGCTTTCGACAAAGTAAACCATTCTTTACTCTGTAAAAAATTAGCTACGTTGGGTATTCATGGAAATCTACTGCGCTGGGTTCATTCGTACCTCGATAATAGAAGCCAACTTGTCACTCTCAAAGGTTTCACGTCATCTCCTATCAAAGTTAAATCCGGTGTTCCTCAGGGTTCACATCTCGGTCCGTTATTTTTTATTGTATTCATAAACGATCTGATTTGTAAACTGTCCAGTCCCTGCCTTCTATATGCTGATGACTTGAAAATGTACCGTGTAATACAGGATATATCAGATTGTGTTAAGCTACAAGATGATATTGATTCAATATCCGAATGGTGCCGGCTTAACGATATGCATCTCAATGTTAAAAAGTGTTTTACTATAACGTTCACAAATAAGAGATATAAACAGACATATGACTATAAAATTAATAAAGATTCATTAGACAGTAACACGGTAGCAAAAGATCTGGGTGTGCTGTTTGACTCTAAATTTATATTTCGTGAGCACTATGCCCACATTAAGAACAAAGCATTCCGGTTGCTAGGTTTCATATCGAGGTGCACTAAGGACTTCAAACAGCCTCAAAGCTTCCCATTTATCAGACCGTTTATAATAGCCTTGTCCATAGTATTCTTGAATATGCTTGTGTCATTTGGTCTCCCTGCTACACAGTGCATTCGGCTAGTATAGAAAGCGTCCAAAAAAGAACCCTTAGAATACTTAGCTACAAATGTGGTCTTGGTCGCAGTCTTGTCGGTTATAGTGAGAGACTCGACAAATTTAAAATGACCTCTTTACTTATTCGTCGTAAGGAATATGACCTTATATATTTACATAAAATTCTCCATAATGAGATTGATTCCGGTTACCTCTTAAGAAAATTAAACTTAATTACAAAGCGCAATCCACGAATTCCTAACAAGACATTTCACCTGCAGACTTACAAGAATAATACGTCTTTTTACAACCCGATAATAAGAATGTGTCGACTTTACAACGAGATATCCACGAAAGACTCCCCGCTTGGATATTTTTGACCCAAGATCAAGAATATTCAAAAGAGCAGTAAAAGAGCTTACAGTCATACACGCTCATTCCCATATCACATAGATTTTAAATTTGATGTACGTAAAATTTGTTTTTTTGTGTTATGTCCCACATCACATAGATTTTAAACTTGTTGTATGTAACATTTGTTTTTTTTTGGTATTATGTAGTAATGTACGGCATTAATATTAATATTGTTTAGCGTAGATTAGATCTCCTCTGTAGTAAAATATGAAAATGATGTGTCAACATACTTAGGAAAACAATCTGGCACGAAACTTTTATATGTATATGTGTAATTTTTTAAGTATTTTGATTGTTATCTGTTTTGTTGTCCATATAATAAATAAATAAATAAATAACTGCGCCCGTATGAGGTGGCTCAAAGTCTTTCAGCGAGCTATGGAGAGGGCTATACTCGGAGTTTCTCTGCCTGATAAACTTAGGAAGGAGGATATCCGCAGTAAAACCAGAGTACGACCGCTCAGACCCATCAAACTACCGGCCTATCGCCATCACCTCCTTGTTCTCCAAAACAATGGAGTCCATTGTAAACTGCCAGCTCATGAGGTACTTTGAGGATCATCAGCTGATTAGTGACCGCCAATACGGTTTTTGCCGTGGTCGGTCAGCTGGTGACCTTTTGGTCTACCTAACTCACAGATGGGCGGAGGCAGTAGAGTTCAAGGGGGAGGCATTGACCGTTAGTTTGGACATTGCGAAGGCCTTCGATCGGGTTTGGCACAAAGCGCTTCTTTCGAAGCTCCCTTCCTATGGGCTTCCCGAGAAATTGTGCGATTGGATCTTTGCACCATGATTGCTTGCAGATCGGAGCATCAAGGTCGTTGTAGGCGGTGCAAGCTCCGATTGCAAGCCTATTAATTCTGGTGTTCCACAAGGCTGCGTGCTATCGCCAACGCTGTTTCTTCTGCATATCAATGATATGTTGCAAGCCCGTAACATTCATTGCTATGCATATGACAGCACTGGTGATGCTCTTTACACCGGCCGAGCCAATATTTCTCTGGAAAACGTCTCCCAGTGCCGGTACAAACTTGTTTCTGAAGTCGAGTCTTTGCTGAACAGAGTCTCGGATTGGGGGCGACTAAATATAGTCCAGTTTAACCCCCAGAAGACACAAGTTTGCGCGTTAACCGCTAAAAAGAACCCCTTTGTCATATCTCCTCAGTTTCAAGGCACTCCCCCTTGTTGCCTCAGCCAGTATCGGAATCCTCGGCGTTGACATATCGAGTGACCTGCAGTTTCGTGGTCGCTTGGAAGAGAAGGCCAAATTGGCCTCTAAAAAAGCTTGGCGTGCTCAGCAGAGCGGGACAGTATTTCATGCCGGCACACCGCCTGCAAATTTACAAGGCGCAGGTTCGGCCGCACATGGAATACTGTTCCCATCTCTGGGCTGGGGCTCCCCAGTACCAGCTCCTTCCACTTGACCGCATCCAGCGCAGAGCGGCTCGAATCGTCGACGACCGAGTGCTTTCCGATCGGTTCAATTCACTGGAACTGCGAAGAGATGTTGCATCTTTTTGCATTATTTTTTTTCGCATTTACCTGGAGAGTGCTCTGAGGAATTGTTCGGATTAATCCCAGCCGCCAAATTTCGTGAACGCACTACGCGGCAAACGTCCCGTTCACACCATCTGGATGCTTGGCGGTCCACCACAGTACGTTTCAAAAGGAGTTTTCTCCCGCGTAGAACCTCTCTGTGGAATAGTCTACCACCGGCGATTTTTCCAGACTGATACGACCTGGGGACCTTCAAGAAAAGAGCTTACTCCTTTCTAAAGGGCCGGCAACGCACCTGCAATTCCCCTGGTGTTGCGGTTGATCATGGGCGGCGGAAGTCACTTAACATCAGGTGAGCCACATGCTCGCTTGCCCCTCTTCTATAAAATAAAAGAGTAAGTGACATAGCCCAATAGATTAGTAATCTGAAGTGGCAATGGGCCATCCACATAGCTCGAAGAACTGATAACCGATGGGGAAAAAAGGTTCTCGAGTTGCAGCTTTCGGGAGAATACGATACAACTTCTCGTCAGGTATACCTCAAAAAATTAAAATAAGATTGTACAGCTAGTGCGTTTTACCAGTGATGACTTATGGATCAGAGACGTCGTCTTTCACTGCTGGCCGTATGAGGAAGCTCAAGGTTGCTCAGTGAGCTATGGAGAGGGCTATGCTTGGGTACCAGAATGGGAATAACTGACATAGCCCAACGGATTAATAAGCTGAAGTAGCAATGGGCCGACCATATAGCTCGAAGAACCAGCAACCGATGATGAAGAAAGGTTCTCGAGTGGCAACCTCGAACCGGCAGGCGAAGTGAAGGGCGTCCCCCCACTAGATGGAGTGACGATCTGGTAAGACATGCAGAAAGTCGATGGATGCAGGTAACTCAGGACCTTGCTTTGTGGTATTCCTTGGGGGAGGCTTATGATTTAGCAGTAGACTTGTGAAGGGCTGTAATGATGATGATGATGATCTAGTAACAGTGCCAAGCCGCTTGTCAATAGTGGCTACTACTGCAAATATTCGGCCTATTTCACAATCAATCATGAGCTGTTCATGAGCTGTGCATGACGAGTCCAAGATCATGAACAGCAGTGGATAGAACTATTAAAAGTAAAAAAATTAGCAGCCCACATACATCCTACTACTGAGCATGGCTGTAGCGAGTTTATGGACAAAAAGAGTTGATAGAGTTGAATTTAAAAAAAAAAAGGGTGACAAACGAGCACACAGTCCGCCTGATGGTAAGTGGATGCTGTGGCCCATAGACATATACATTTATACTCGATTAGGAATCAAAACGCAGATGCGTTGTCACCCCTGAGGACTAAGATGGAATGCTTCGTTTCCAGTAAAAAAGGATCTCCGATTCTCTACACTCACCATACGAAACACAGCAGTATTTAGCTGCTACTTTACGCTGGTATTCTGTGAAAGCGTGGTCCTTCCCCGGTCGAGCTAACGCATTCGTACTACAACTATAATATAGCTGCATCGTGGCTCTACCACGTAAAAAACCAACTAAACTCCATATAAGTTTAA